TAGCATGGCCAAAAAAAAAAGGTGCAAATGTATCTGATGCAGACAATGGACCAGATACATTCGCACTTTTGTGGGCCGAGCAGCACACAGAGAGAGAGAGAGAGAGAGAGAGAGAGAGAGAGAGAGAGAGAGAGAGAGAGAGAATGGGGCGGGTGTTAACGGGGCGCGTGGCACGGTCGATGGTTTTTCCTGTACCGACCAAGTGGGGTCGTTTTCCAACCCCAACCGAGTCCCCCAGAAGCCAAAAACGGGAAAAATAAAAAACAAAAAAAAAGGGGAGGGCCTGCTACGGGTACCTGCTCCCAGGCCAGGCCAGGCCATGGGAAAAAGAGAGGTACCACTAGCCGAGGCCACCTCCCGTTTTTGCCAATTACTGAACCGGTAGGCCGTGGAACACATGATTTACTGTTTTCTTGCAGTTTCTAACTGGTCTTGGCCCAATCTTGAAGTGGACAGTTATTTCTGCGAATTCTGAACTGTGCGGCGGTCACAGGCGCAGTTGTCTCAAGATTTTTCTAGCTGAAGCGGGGTAATGGCCCCGGTATTTACAAGGATATGAGTGCGTATTTTTGGATGCTGGACCCGCTTTCCAGCAGTTGCTTCTCCCCACTAGTAGATTGGAATGACCAGACACAGGCCTACTGGGCGCAGGGGCTCATATCACTTCCCCTAGTGACCCGGTCTGTCAGGGAAAAAAAAAAAAGAAATCCGCCCTCTGAACTGCGCATGATAGTTTCACCAACTTTCACGTCATATGGCTCGTCTCTTCATTTTTTTGTCCCTACCACAAGTTTTCTCCACACTCACCGTATCCCATGGCTTCTTCGGCGGTCCAATCCCAAAGGTTGGTGCGAAAGATGATGCAGTGATGCCCACAACAGGTGATCCCGCCGCATAAGACTGAGTAGAAAAACGACGTGGGTTTGGTGGATCCTTGCATATGCCATCTACAGAACCATAAGCAGCCACAACTGTGTTGTTGATCCGTGTGTAACCTTCTTCTTTGAGCCTCTGAACTTTATTCAACAAGATACCTCTGTTGCACTCTGCAACAACAGTGTCAACCACTTCCAAGCTATGCTTGCATTGTTGATTCAGAATCCCATAATCCCAGCTCTGATAGATGTGAGCAACATACAAGAAACATAGAGAATACACACACACAAGCACACACACACACAGAAAGGATCACCCAGAGTTAGTCAACACAGCAAGGAACTGCAGCCACTCATCAAGTGATAAAAAATACAAGACAACAGGCAGCAGGTTTTGGCTCTTTTGAGTTCAGAAAGGCCAAAAATTTTGGAAAAAACACTAAATGGCACTGTGCTCATGGTGTGAGTTTGAGACGGCAATTCCAGTCAAAATAGATTTTCTATTATTTTCCCCTTTCCCATCTGGCACCACGGCCCGCCCCTGTAGTTATGACACCTGTGCCTCTGTCACGGCCGCAGTGCTTTCATTGCCTCTTCGAACTTGGATGTTGTTTATTTTGCCGGTGCATGTTTTTTTTGCCTATTTGGAACTCTTTTGTGCTGTGGCCGCCGTTGCCCCTAAAAATATTCACGGACTGTTGCGCTAGACTGCACCTATCTGCCTAGTGACTGTATCGCATAAACCCAAAGGTTAAAACTGATGTTAGAAAGTTTATGCGCACAATCTTGCCATACATAACAGCACAAAAAGGGCAACCTGTCCTTATACCACCAGTACCTTTCCCATATATCAGTCGCGGGCCTGAATTTGCCCTGCGCGCCAGAGAAAAACGAACCGCCAGCCAGTTCGATTCTCCGCTGAACTCTTCCATGTTGACCGCCACGGTATTTTTTTCCCACGCTTGAACTACAAATATGCAGCTCGTTTATGGCCGCAACTTTCGAGGGTGGGGGTACGGGACCGCCAGCCAAACTGAGACCCGAGCTGGCTCTTTTTTTTTTGGCGCACAAGGCATTTTTCAGCCTCTGTGTAGCGGTACCCCTACAGCCCGCCAGTGAGGCGGACCAGTTTCAGGCCGTTGGCCTGACCCTGGCCCGGTACCAGGTTGATGCCCGTACCTGGACCGAGGCCGGTATATCATTTCGGCCTAGGCCCAGGTTTGGAGGTTGGTTCATTCATTCTTCATTCGTTCATTCATTTGGACTGGACCTTGACTCAGCTGCTGCTTCTGGTGTGTCCATCTCCTCTCTCTCTCTCTCTCTCTCTCTCTCTCTCTCTCTCTCTCTCTCTCTCTCTCTCTCTC